AGGGAGAGAGAGAGAGAGAGGTGGAGTTCGTGGTTACGTGCTGGCGCGAATGCCGCGTTGTTTACTGCATCGAGGGTGGAGTCGATACGCAAGCGACGAAGCCGCCTAACCTGATGCGAGCAACAAAGATGGAGGTGTGTGGCGGGAGAGAGAGAGAAAAAAGAATACGTTAGGTTATAGGTTTGCCGAGTTTTTTTTTTTTGGTGAAGATGTAGAGTATTGAATGAAGGTTGAGAATATAGGGGTGCAGTTTCAAAATAATGTAAAATATAAAAGTTGTGGGAATACCAAGTTTTAGATCTTCAATTGCATATATCTCGTAAACAGTAAGAGATACAGGGTCGTGCTATAGGACCAAATGTGTGGAGCTTGAGGAGTGCTACAAGTTTGCTTATGGAGACCAACCCTGTATCTCTCATGTGAAAGTCAGAAAAGGGTGTCTGAATGTTCAAGGTCAAATATCTTGGAAACGTGTGGTTCGTTTGGAAAGTGTCATAAGGCTTTTTTGTAGAGCTTGATGAGATCTACAAAAAAGTCTGATACTTCATTCCAAACGGACCAGTAGTTTTTGAGAAAAATGAGATTGAATTATTTTTGAAATTTTGGTCGGTTTTCGAGAGAATGAGTGGTAAGAGTGAATCTTGAGTTATATGTTTACATCAATGGTGTGTACTCGTTGAGAGAAGCGTTCTGGAAGAGCGACTTTTTTTTTTTTAACAATTTTTTAAAGTGTTATCTCGTAAACGGGCGGTTTGTTAGGAAAGTGTTATAAAAGTTTTTTGTAGAGCTTGATGAGATCTACAAAAAAGTCTAATACTTCATTCCAAACGGATCAGTAGTTTTTGAGAAAAATGAGATTGAATTATTTTTGATATTTTGGTCCGTTTTCGAGAGAATGAGTGGTGAGAGTGAATCTTGAGTGATATGTTTACATCAATGGTGTGTACTCGTTGAGAGAAGCATTCTGGAAGAGCGACTTTTTTTTTTGTACAATTTTTCAAAGTGTTATATCTCGTAAACGGGCGGTTTGTTAGGAAAGTAGTATAAGGCTTTTTTGTTGAGCTTGATAAGGTTTACAAAAAAGTCTAATACTTCATTGCAAACGGACCAGTAGTTTTTGAGAAAAATGAGATTGAATTATTTTTGAAATTTTGGTC